GACTGCACGAGGCAATCGCTCAGAGTTTGGCAGCCATCCTCTCCGGGTACTCGTCCTCCTGGAAGTGCTGAGAAGCTCTCCTCGACACGCAGCAGACATTGCAGCACAGGGCAAGACAGTGACTCAGCAAGGCAGATTGCTGTGTTCGTTTCAGCCGCCTTTGGCTCCCACCGAAGGCAGGATCCAGTTCAAGGTTGCTGTGGTGACTATTTTCAAAGCTCTGCCTGGAATTCATTTTAGCTACCAAGAGACTGTCTGTCACTCCATGGCTACCACCTCCCACAGGAGCTTCATTCTGCTGCTAGACTGAAGCTGTAAGTGAAGTGTTCCCTGCAGACAATAGAGGCCGGTGGTCTGCTGTTTATACCCAATAAAATCATTTGGTTTCAGAAGTTCTTCATCTATGAGTATTTTGGCCTTAAGATGTTGTTTGGCACAGGTTTTGCTGCACACCGCTAAGGTTGGTGTTTTGTAGTCTAGCACAGAGCAAGTTGCAAGTGAAATCCAACTTTGGCTAAGTCTGCTTTTCTCTAAATAACTAATAACTAAAAACCAGCATGTTTTTTTTAAAAAAAAAAACAGAATAATAGTGGAGCAAAAAGGCATGCATGCCTGAACTTTTTTGCTGTCTTTCCCCTTTCCATCAATCTTGTTTGTTGCTAATACACTGGGGAATTCATATCTGGTACATGGAATAAATCCTGGTAAAACATTGTCCTAATGTGCTTGTAGCAGCAGTGGCATAATGAGATAGCTTCTGTAAAAAAGCTAAACCTGAAGGTTAGACCAGCCCAGGGCTAGGCAGACTAACTCTTCAAATTCCTGAAGATATTCAAGGTTTTCATTCCTGACTTAGTTGCCTGTATCCTGTTTTCTTCCTCCTTTTGCATTAATCCCTATTTATTTTTAGTCCTCCCCTTTTCCTCATCCTTGCCCCCAAATGTTCCTCAGCTTTATATATTGAGTTTCCCTTGGCATGCCAAAAATCTGCTGATGACTACCACTTGTTTGAAAGTCGCATGCAAGATTTCTTTTTGTATGAGTGTTTTATATGAAACCCAAGCAAATATTTAGAACTTGCTTATGACTTCAAGCCTAAGTTTTTAGTTGTGTGCATATGGTATTTGCAGTATACATCAGAAATACGCTTAGAGGACAATATTAAAAATTATCTGTGCATTTGGAGTGTTGCTTACTGGTTTGCACGTACCCAGAGGAAAAATATCTGAAGGACAGAGTTAAAAAATAGGGAACAGCTTTCTGTAAAGATGAAAGCTATTAATCACTGAAACAAATGATCACAAGAAGTAGATGATCTCTACCATCCAAGTTTTCAATTCAGTAACGGGTGTTTTGCTAGAGCAGAAGCAGTAACAAGCATTGTTTGGTCTTTGTTGCAGGGCAGACCAGATGATTGATAATTTTGCCTTCAGTCTCTTGCTCCGTAGGTCTTATGACTTCCCCTCGCAAGCCCAGCTCTGACCACTGTAGCTTGCCTGTCGTGAATTGCCGTGTTCATGCTGGAGATGTCCTCTCCTGGCCTGCCCTGTATTTCACACACTTTCAAAGTCTTCATTGTTGGAAGTACCTCAATTTTGCCATCCTGTGACAGTTTCTTTTGCAACTGTCCCTGATGTTGGGGAGCAGCATGACATCATGGGGAAGGGAAGGACGATCACAGAGCTGTAGTAACCCTTTGAGTGCATTTACATGTCCTGTTTATTAACTGTTACATATTTTGGAAATAGAAAAATCTATAAACACCTTTCGGTACGGAAGAGATTTGGGGTCTTCATTTACAAGTTTAAGTTGATCTACATTAGCTGGACACAAAAGACTTAATTTCTGAATTTGCTGGGTGTTGGGCTTTTTTTTTTTTTTCTTCCCCCGACATGCTTAATCTTTTGTAAGACCCCTTTTGTGTTTTTGTTCAGGCAATTAATGTAGAAATGAAGGTTTCTTAAATCAGGATATGCAAGGAAGATTTGAAGTAACACACTGATTATATAATTAATTCTCAGTTGTAAATTCATTTTGATGGAGTTAATTCTTTCCCAGAGGCTGAAGACTAGGTTTGGTCCACCCACAGTGCTGTAATCAGCTAAGAAATAAAGAAGAAAAAGGCCTTGAAGGAATGGAAGCTTCACGACCGGTTTTAGGGAAAAAATGCCAAAAACAGGCAGGATATTTTATTTTTAATTCAAACAAAAGCTTCTGAGCTGTGGTTTAGAACCATGGGTATCCAAATCCTGTTTTCAAGCAGCCTGATATGTTGAAATCCAAAAGAAATCAGAAAGGAATGACACCTGAGGAGGATGGAGAAAAATTATCTGGGTGGTGGGACCTTGCACAGATGGGAAAGTGTGTTTAGTGGAAGATTTATTTGGGATCACTTTTTACATCTTCCACAAATATGGTAACATTCAAATATAGCTTTCTGTTTGACAGTTGGCATTTACTAATAAATATGGACAAGTGACTGTTGTCTTGATGGACTATGAACTCTCTTACTGCTTCCGACAGTGTTTTGTGAGGTGCTGACTTCAGAAAGCATAAACAGCACTCCAAAACCTAAATAATTTGGAAAATCCTGTTTGTCGTACTTCATTTGTCTGCTTCTCTCTTGCTTAACTAGTGACCTAATCATCCCGTAGATGTGTTTAGACTGCAGGTTTCCAGAACAAAACAATAATAACAAAGAAAAGACGTTGACAAATTTCCAGGATTTTCAAATGATTCTGCACACATATTGCAGTGCATACTGCAAGGGCAGTTGCTAGCCTATTTTACTCCCTAATAACTGATTTCATTTACAAGGCTTTCTAGTCCCAGTCTGTCTCTGCCTTTTCCTTGGTTGGGCATATTTTGTATTGTAAATTGAAAATGCCATTGTCTAGGGGTGATTTTAGCGTGCATGCTAGGTAAGAATATGCATGCAATTGTCATTATATCCTAGGAACTGCTAGTTTCTGTTTTGTTTTTTTAGTCTGCTTGGTGGCTGCAGCAGAAGTTATGTTGTATTGGTTAAGCTGCATTATCACCACATTTCTAAGCTCAATCGAAGATGTGTAAATGAAGTCAGCATGATGCAGATAGAGCTGGCAGATGATCTTCCTTGCAGCTCTGGGTAGCAAGAGTAGGCTTGCCCTGGAATATCACTTTATACAAAGTGGTTTCTTTACCCCTCTGTCTGAATTTGGACAGAATAAAATTCCCACTGGCTGGTTCTTCATGAACTGCTCCCCAACTTCTACTTGCAAGTTTGGTGCAAAAAAGCCAACTATGGCTAAGGGACCATTGTACCATTCTAGTGAGTGAATAGTTAAATATAATCTTAATGTGTCATTTACATTTGAGCCTAACAAGGTTATAACTGCAGTTGTGTGAAAATGACTTTTTGGTGCTATTTTCACATAAACTGACTATTTATTTATTTATTTTGTTCTGGGGTTATTTCACACCCCAAGGGTTTCATTTTTGTTGGTTGTTTTATTAATGTAAAAATACTCATTTTCACACCCAAATGTGTGATTATTTAAAATACTGCTTCTATTCATTGTGCAATCGCTTGCAACCTAAAGGCAAATATTCAAATGTCTGGAGCTTGATAACTCCGTGGTGGTTTTGGCTGGCTTTTTAAACTCAAAAATTACGGTGAAGAGAAAGGGGAAGTAAGTAATTCAAAGGGTTAGAAGGGCTGTACTGTCATGTCTGCCTCTCAGCATCCAAGGATGGTTCATATGTTATTCCAGCACACATGATGTAGTGTGGTGCCCCCTCTGATGCACACAAACCCTCTCACAGCACAGTAGTGCCAAAAGGCTGTAGCAATGAGTCCTCACCTCTACGGCCCAGTGTTTCTTTATGTAGCCTCTGATGCTCTCTCCTGCATGGAGAAATAATGTGGGTTCACAACACAGAAGCAGAATTGCAGCATTTGTTGATCCGAGTGTCTCTGGCCCTTGCTTACTCCCAACCCAACCTTTCCTGTGCCCTGGATGCTAGGGACCACAGAGAACATGGATGCAACTTGTGTTTTACCAGCATCTCCCCTCTCTGGGCACAGACTGGTTAAAACACAACTTAAAACGTCTTTCTTCTAAATTGGGCTGATTTTGGAGAGTCTAAATGTGATGTAAAATCAGTGTCCAGGGCTCTGCATTTTGTAATAAGTGAATGTTTTGCTGATTTCTTGCTAGAATATCTGCAACCACACCAATTTGCATGCCTGTATGTGTGTTAGATTGCTGGCAAAGAAATGCTGAATGCTGATAATTGTATACTGATTTCCAAGGCTGATTTAAGTCATTTTGATTTTTAATTCATTCTGTGCTTCCTTTTTATTTCTGCACATGTGTAGTAATGTCCTGTAATGTTGTTGCCTAAAATAAGCAGTAAGAAATGAAGTTGTGAGATGGCTGCTGTAAAAGGAAAATGACATTTTTTAACTTTGATTCTTTTTTTTTTTCCCCAGTAAAAGAATAAGTCTCTGTATACAGAATGTTCAAAAAAATGTTGTATTCACTATCTTGCTGCTAATTTATATAAAGAAAACAGCATTGCTGTTGCGAGTCTACAAAGCTCAGAAAAGTGATACTGAGAAGTTCTGCACAAGAATTTTCTTGTTCTTGAGAAGCACTGAGAACCCAGCACTCCCCTACAGGTCAACTGGACTCAGGGGTGCTCAGCATCTCTTCTGGTTTGGATTGCAGCTGGGTTCTTCAGTGAAAGCCTGGTTTGAGATCCTGCAGTCAATTTGCGTTAGAAGATGTAGAAACCTCTGTCCATGTGCTGAGGAAGAGGAAGAAAATATAGGGAACTATATGTCTTCATGTTGATTGCATGTGATAATCCTAAAGTGTGTGTTCTCCTTCCTTCATTGATATGCTTGAGTTCATGGATGCATCAGCAGTACTGGAGATCTTACTTTCTTCACATGAACATATTAATAAATACTGAATATATAAAAGTTTTAGTTTTCCTTTTTTTTTTTTTGTTAGGAATCTGAGAAAAAGGGGTTAATTGACCGCATCCACATGGTCCAAGAGATCATCATAGCTGTTCAAAGCATCCTAGACGAAATAGCATCATTTGGAGAGAGGATTAAAAAGTAAGTGATAATTTTTTCTTGCTTAGCTGTGATTTACAATGAAGCAGGGCCAGGAGGATTAAGGCAGAGTGAATGCCTTGCTCCAGAAATGACTGCAAGGTGCAGCAGGAGAACATGGCCAGTCCCACTGCTTCTCCTTCTCTTGGAGTCTTTTACTCCAAAAACCTTCCCAAAGCACAGAGAAGAGAAGCCATGTGCTCTACTGATGTACCTCTCGTATTTGCCCAGCCTTCTGGTCTTGTCTGTTTGTGATGGGGTAAGGAGTCATGATGTGACACAAGGGAAAATATTGCTTGAAGATGTGGGCACAGAAGTATCAGTCATTTCTTTTCATTTCCTTCATGGAAAGTAGGTAGGAATTGATGGTTAATGTTGTGTTTCCCACGCCCTCCCTGCCCTGGTCTGGTTACAGGGGTTACCAATCACTTATTTCCCTGCCCAACACATTGATGTTCTCTCTTTACCATTTTGAGCTGTCTGCTTCCTGCTGGTGCCATGAGGAAGCCCGAAGGGGGCTTTCTGGGTCTTGTTGCAAGGAGAGGCACATAGGGTATTCCTGACCTTACAAAGGAGGGAGGTGAAAAGCCTAAGAAAAAAAAAAAATCCCACACACAAACACACACAAACTTTTATAACCCAATCTTTATTGGAGCTTAATTGACCTACATTGTTTTCTGTTTTGAACACAGTGATGGTTTGTGATTGAGCTACACTTTAATGAGAAGCTGGGTTCGAGCTAAAAATACAGCAAACGCATGTGCTGTGGTTCTATGCCGGACACCCCAGCTGGGGTGGAAGTGGCCCAAAGATGTATTCCAGTCTATGAACAGGGCACTGTTCTGCCCAGCTGCATGGCAGGAAGACTCAGAGTGCTTAAGCACTATTAATTCTTGTATTCATTTTGGTAACAATGGTCTTAAAGAAGACATTGGGTATTAATGTGGATGCCCGATGTAATTTCAGAAGAATTCCATTGTAACTCAACAGTAATGTACCATTAAAAAATTGCCACCAAAGTTTTACTGTAAGTGACAGACTGAATTGTGCTACAGTTTCCGTCTGTCACTCTAGTTATACAATCATAGGGAGTTTTAATAGTTTAACTGAATTGAGCTGTTTTGCTATTTTTTTTTACTTTAACTTAAGCTACATTGATTGATAATGATGGGTCCTCTCCCACCTATCTTTACTTAATATTTAATACATCTATTGAAGCTTAAAAAGTAATTCTTTTAGCCTCCTATTAATTTTATCTGTCAAGGGAAGTTCGTCTTATTTTATAGCCTGTTAAGTGGTCCACGTTCATTCTCTCTTCTTCCTACTCCCCGTCATCATGATGTGATGAAGTTAGCAGGCAGATTGTATGAAACAGAGATGCCCGGATCTGTAAATCTGCCTGTGGAGTAACTGGCATTCAGGTAGTCCAGATATCTCAATGCTTGGTGCATGCTGTAGAGATGTATCTTATAAGGGCACAGGGGGACAAAACTTCAAAGATGTGTTAGCAATAGCTGCTCACCTTAAGTCCATTGCGGGCTTACAGGTGAATGGTCTGAGTGAAAGGAAGTCCTATTTTGTGCTACAATGCTGCAAAACTCTGAATGACTGCAGTAACTGAGCCTCTTGAGAATGTTCCCCTTGGGAAAAAATCTGATGCAGGTTGGTAGGGTGCAGAAGCTTGGACTGCTGCTAGCATACTGTAGCTTACCCAAGACAGCATCCTATATACAGTGTAATAAGGAATTGTTGAAAACGTAAGGAAATAGAAGCAAATATATAAATATTGAGAGATTTATATAGGATATTATTTCCTAATAGTATACAGAGATGACTTTAACTGCTCTTTTAAAGTTTAGCATCAGTCATAATTAATCCATTCCAAGTTATTGGCAGGGGTGAGTCTGGCTACCTCCCCAAATGCCTCCCTGCCACATTTGAGTCACGCACTGACACACATCACATGTCATCTCCACTGTGGCCCAGTGGAGCCAGCTCAGATGGCTCACACCTGTGGCACAGCCTTGTTTCCAGGTCCGATAATCCACCCATGAATAATAGAGAGCTGACCAGTGAGCAGAGATGTGTAACAAGTGCAACACATGTAAGAAGAAACAAAAACAACTCGCTACATGCCTAACAACTTTACTGAGCTCCCCATCTTCTCTCTCCTTATCATGATATCTGCTTCTCAGATATCTCCCTTGATCTGTTATAGCATCCAGATGCAGGAATCTGCCTATCCACCTTCCAAAGGATCTGCAATTTACAGTGCATTTGAAAGCACCAAGCGCTGCAAAGAGGTCATTAAATTATTATTGGGTAGCAGAGTACAAGCAGTGTCCAAGAGCAGAAATGTTGAGAAGGAGTATTGTTTTTCTTTACAGCACATTCAACTGGACGGTGCCTTTCCTCTCTGTCCTGGCCTGCTTGGTCCTGGCAGCAGCAACAGTCATTTTGTATTTTATACCACTGAGGTACATTGTTTTAATCTGGGGTAAGTACTCCACTGTGTCTCATCTTCATGCAATAAATACAATATATATCTAAAGAATGAAATCAAACAAGATTTAAATGACCTGTTACACAGTCAGCCAAGTGCTGTTGCTTAGAGGTGAATAAGTATGCTATGAATGTCTTAAAATTACCATTTTTTTCCCTCCTGGGTGATCCGATGATCTGCTTTTCTTAGTGTTCTTTATAAGTTTCCAACAGCACCACAAGAAGAACATTAGTCTGCATAAGCTACTTTCAACATTATTATTATTCTGTGGGAGAGTAATGAGCTTCCTGGTTCTGGAGCCCCCTGATTGGGATATGGTAGGGAGTGGACAAGATGTGTTTGAAGAGCTGGACCATGGAGGCCTGGACCTCGGGAGCTTTTTGGGTCTTAACTCTGCTGCAATCAGGAGGAGCAGTGTGCCCAGTACCCCATGGTCCAATGGAGGAACTGAGCATCACTTTGTGTCACGGGTCAGAAAGTATTTGTGTGAAGGTGCATCATGAAGTAAAAGAGGAGCTTTTAAAAATGAAAACTTGCTTGGTGGTGTTATGAAGAAGAGTAAGACAGTCTTTCACAAAAGGAGATGGTATGCCAGCTGCTGAAGATTTTCTTCATCTCAAAATGACCTTCTGTCTTCTTTAGAGTGATAGCTTTTATCTCAGCCTTGAGGTACAATTGCTGAGAACATAATGCAGGTAATCCTCACTGAACCACTGAAGCTTAGCCCCAGTGTGGCTCTGGGCTGCAGGGACACCCTATCACCCTTCCAGGGTTGAGCAATCTGCTGCTGTCTTGGCTCTCCTGGATGCAGAAAAGGGAGGGAATAAGAAGGTGGCAGTACAGAAAGCCACTCTTGGGCAAAAAAATAAATGAAATAAAGGATTAAATCAAACAAAAGAAAGGGCAAAAGGGAAGGAGAGAAATTGCTAGGAGTAAAAAGTTCAGTAACAAAATATTGCTGTTCTTGTATGGAAGACATGGTGAGTACATGAAAACTATACTTCCGTTCAACATCATCTAGACTGACAGGGCCTTCAAATATGATACATGTTAAACAACTACCCTGTGGCAAGGCCTCAAAAGACCTTACGGTATTTTCTGGTTTTTAAAAATCAGGTACACAGAAAATTGTGTTGGCATTTTGCTACAAGTATATGGCTTAAAAGCTGAATCTCAGATGTGAAGCAGGTACATTTCAGAGAGAGGAGAAGGCTGGAGCAGCCATCACATTTGAAATCACTTGCAGGAAAACTACTATGAGATTTTGGACAGGGTCATGATGGAAATTGAATGCTGCATTATGATCCTTAGAGGCAACCAATATTTGAAATTTTTTGCTATTCTTTAAAATGGGTTAGCTGATTTTCTTCACCTAATGATCCTTTGCTCTTCTACCACACCTATACAAAGCCACACTACTTCCCCACTATTTCTCAGTGGGGAAGTGGTGGCAGTAGGTGTTAAGTGGCTGCATTGGCACAAGGGGATTGCTGGGAAGGGTGCACAGGCCTCTTACTTTTTCATCCCGGTCCATGCAATAGGGATGGTGCTGGCTGAGGGCTGCTCATTGCTCACTTTCCTCAAAAGCAGTAGAAGAGAAGACCTCATGATATCCACAATAACATGAACAATACACTCCTATGGATCTTCTCCTACCGCAGACCACCTCTGATATCTGAAGCATAAGTCCATGGAGAACACTGGTAGCACTGCTGCTGCAGTTAATAAGCTGAATTATTCACCCTAAGATCAAAATAAAGTAAACCTTGTGATAAGTTTTTACAGTTTCCCGCAGCATTGTAATATGGCCAACTTGTCAAATCTGGTTCTGCAAAGAGAGGACAAGCTACAAAACATGATGGGGAAGGGAAGCTTTCATTTTCAGAAGAAATGGAAGGAAAAAACCCCTTTATCCTGCCCAATTCTTTTCAGAGCCCTGTAGTTCCCTGGGCATGAGGAGAGGGAATGTCTTTGGTCACAGAGAGTAGCAGATTTAACAGTAATCTCAACTGCAAATTTGTATATTCTCCTCACAATATCGCCCAGATTGAATGCATGCTGCAACCTTTTTTTACCACGTTGTTGACAACAGATGATCCCCAAAGTAGAGAAAAACCTTTATAAATAATGCCTTCTACTTCCTCCAGGAGGCACTTGTGAATGATTCCCCATGACAGGAAATATATGTGTGGCTTTAAGTCCAAGGCACTGTTTTCACACCAATTTTTACTTGTGAATTCCTTTTTCCTTTTTCACCTTGCCTGAACAATTTAGGAGAGAAGGAGTAGAAAGGGTTTGTATTATTTTGTTTGCTTTTTTTTATTTTCCTAGGCATAAATAAATTTACTAAGAAGCTTAGAAATCCCTATGCCATCGACAATAATGAGCTACTAGATTTCCTCTCCAGGGTACCATCTGATGTTCAAAAGGTAGGTAATGAATGGCCACAGCCAACAGAGGCAACAAGCGTCACTGAGAGCGGCTGGGTGCTCTGCTTGGGGAATACGATGCCAGTGCACTTTTGAATAACGGAGATAAGGAATTGGGGAAAATCCACAAAGGTGGGGGGCAGGGAGGAGGGTGTTAGAAGAGAGGGGAGCCAAAATCCTTTGTCAGAAGGATAAAATGATTGCAGAAAAATTATCCTGAAAAGACCTACTTAATAATGATCTGGAAAATCACCCAGCGTGGTTACTGAACTATGGTTTCCGTCACCTTTCTGCTCTGGTATTTGTACGGAGGGAAGAGAAAAATAGTCTTTTTGATAGAGATAACCATCCAAAAGGAATTGCTGAATTCTCCCTTTTCTCAAGATTGGGGGGGGGGGGGGTGCATTGTTTCCCTGACTTTGTGCTTGCTGTGGGGTTTTTTTCACATCAGCTGTCCCTCAAAATTCTTCCTCCCCACCCACCTTGAACTCCAGGCCTCCCTTGGACAATGCTCTGCTCGTCTTTTTCGTTAGAGAAAGCGTTGAGATGTGTGTAAAATACTCTGTGGCTGATCAGATCAATCTTCTACCATTATGGAATTATAACTTTTAATCTAACCAGAATCTATCCTCCCTCAAGTTCAGCAAGTCTTGCTTCTTTTCATATTTCTTTTAAACAACAACACTGTCTTCAGGAATCTTGCCTATCTTCCTGGAAATTATTTGAACAATAAGTCCTTTAGAATGTCAAGATCTGTTTATTTCTCTTGGAGGAAGGAAAATAGTCTTGCTGGGTAATGAAGCCACATGATATAAAGGATTCTTTCTTTTGTTTTAATCAACTGGAATCTGTGTCCTCAGGCCCTGATCCTGATGCCCTGGATCCCACTGACCTTGTACCTTCCTCTGTGAAAAACTGTACTTTCACAGTGAGGTGCTGCTCACTGAATAAGGGGATCACAATCTCACATATAGTGATTTTGCTCTGTTGGAGACAGAAAAATAACTGCCCACATGCAGTGTCGAGGCATCTGGTAAAAACAAGGTTGGAAAAGGCTTCTGGTGACATTTATTTCAAGAGGCCACCAGATTGCTTGGTGGCAGCACTAATAACTTGAGAGAAATCTTGTCATAGACTGGTGGGAGGAAAAATGCTAAACAGAAATGATCATAGAGACATTAAGCTTCAGAGTATTTTTATTTTTTGTCATTGCTCTTGTAGAGCACGCTGGATTTGCAGTGATGGTTTGCATATGCCCTTTTAGTGTTTATGTTTAAAGATAAGCTGCTTTTCTATTTATGCTTGATTTAACATTTACTTTTATAAAATATCCTTGAGTGGTTTCTATCATTTGGGGATTCTTTGAGCTCTCCAAGGAAACCGATAACCATTTTCTATGGGAGGAATGATAACAGTTCCTAGGATGGGACAAACCTTCTCAGAGTTTTCCACCAGTGCTAAAAATAGTGAGTCTGTGTGACAGCCACACGCTCTTGTGAAAAGTCATTCATGGCAGCTCCAAAGCCCCTCTGTCTGCTTCGTTTTACATGCTATCAATGCATCATCATTTCACTGTGGTACTGCAATGAGTTAGAAATTACCTCTCTCTATACGTTAGCCATTTGCAACCCACACATGTTGGACAAAAGACAGAGGAGGAGTGAAAAGGACTGCACATTCAGCAAAAGTTTCCCCATGATTTCAGTGGGAATACTTTTCTGTAGCACAACAGACAATTTGGAGATTACACCATCCTTGTCAGTTTATCACACATGTTTTAACCATTATATTGTATATGAAATTGTTTTGAAAGGTGGAGGCAGCTTTGCCCAGGTTCTATTTGGGAAAATATTTTCCTTTTTTGAAACAATTAAATATGTCAGCATCCCAAGGTCTGTGTACAATTTTGACAACTGTCATCTTACTGCATATTGGGATCCACTTGAATTGAAACTCCTGAGAGAAGTTTATTAAAGTTATAGGTTAATGCCAGAAAGATAAGAAAAACAACCCCCAAACCAAAACAAACCCAAAAGAACTAGCCTACATTGCTGAAATCAGGTAGAACCCCATGTATCTCATTAGAAAAATCTGCTTTTAATATTTTCGTTTCAAGAAATGATGCATGACTTCTCAAATCCTTCCTGCAATTAATCCCCCATGTTCCTGTGTTTAGAAAATGATTCATTACTTTTGAACCTTCCTTAGTTTCCCTTGGTTTGTCCTTGGGGAGCCATTAACACACACTGTAGTGAGCTAGAGTTACCTAACTGCAAACGTCATGTGTATTTGTTTTTACAGGTGCAGCATGCTGAATTGAAACCATACAGCAGCTCCACTCCCATTAGGAAGAAGCGGAGTGCGCTATAGGATGCAGTGCAATTTCGGAATGCAGCATCTCCCTCCGTACCCCCGACGCGTGCACACGTGCTTCCCCCATCCCCTTCTTCTTGCTTCAGAACAACACTATTATCACTGCCACAGACCTTTTTTTGGGGGGGGAGGGGGGGAAGGTGTGTGTTTTGATAAACACCTATGTTGGGTTGTCTTTTTTGGGTTGTCTTTTCAGCATGGAGTCGTAGCCCAAAAAAGAGCAAGGTGGAGTGTATGACCTAGTTTGTGGGGTGGGGAGGAGAATGAGAGAGGATGGTTCAACAGCACCTTTTTTTTTTCTTTCTTTCTTTTTTCCCCTTCGATTGCAGAGGCAAGGCTGGATGTGGCAGCACTCCCTGTTTTATGTAGGAAGAGATAATTCTGCTTAGTGTAGCAGATCAGCTGAGCTGATGTGAGGAGATGCTCTGAAGCAGTTTTTAAAACATCCAACAGATTTACATTAAGATATGAAAACTATTCTTTTCTGAGTTAAATCACTGTGCCTAGAAAGGTTTAAGCTCTGAATTAACGAGTCTTTGATACCCATCTTCTGTTCAAGCAGGGTACATTTTAAAAAGTTTTTTATCATAATTAGCAGAAAGAGCTAGGAGCTCCAACAGTATCTCAATATTTCATCCAGCACTTGTGGGTTTTTCTTTTTCCTTTTTTTTTTTTCTTCCCCCCTTCTGTTTTTAAAGCCCACCCTGTGGTTAACTCTTTGGATACTGGAATCATCGGAGATCCATTGCTGGCAATGGATGCATGAGAACCTTCTGCCATGAAAGGATTAAGAGACTGTAGAAAAGCCTAATTCACTGACCTGAAAAGACTCTGTTGACTTGCCTTTTATAATTCCATCTCATCAGATATTTTCAGCATAGCTGTCGTTTTCCTGTCTAAATCCAGAGGGGTCAACACTACAGATCCAAGAGAAAAAACACTTTATAGCCTTAAAGAAACAAGTGCTTGTGCAGAAAGAGAGCACAGTGCCCAGAGACATGGTTGTGCAATAGTGTGCAGGCTTTGGTCCACCACTGATGTCTCATTGGAGTCTTCCAAGGTTCACAAGGAAAAGATCAGAAAGTGAAGTCATATGGAAACTGAGCAATGAAGAGACCCCGTTTTCTATTCTGAGAATGTGATTTCTTGCTTGCTTACAAATCTTTTAGCTATTGTGCTTTTGCTTTATAAAATTTAGATAACCAGCATTATCCATGTTGTTTGACTGGGGAAACTGAAACACAGAATCATATGTAAACCTGCTTAATTATGGTGAGAGTGTAGCCCTCCATCCTTAGGTGCTGTAGGAAGCTGTGGGAGCGACTTGCCACCACAACTTGTCATTGGTAGCACGAGAGCTGGAATTGCTTCTTGTGATTCCCAGGCAGCAGTTCCCACCAGCATCCCCTGGGGTGGTTCACAGTACAAAGAAATAGAGAAACCAGAGAGACAGGCTTCTTTTTAACAAAAGAAAACTTTGGAAGTAATCTAATTAAAGGTAGAACAGGTAAAACCTTTCTTATAGATCGGTGATCCAAATGGAGTCACACTGTGTGGTTCAGTAATGCGATCTTGTGGGCCTGTTGCATGAATTTGAAGAAGAAAAACTAACACCAGAGTATCTTCTGCTGGATTATTATCCAGATTCAGTGATTTTTCAAGAAGTTTATTTTTCAGAGTTACAAGCCCCACTGTGCCTTTGAATAAGGAGAGGCACATTTTCATAGACTTGATTGGATAAAGAATGTATTTTGCTCATGCAGAGCTGTGTGTAGCTGCAAATGGAAAGACAGAAAAAAGATTGTCCTGGTTTAAAAAGCCACAAAAATGCCTCTTTGTGTGCACGTGTGCTTGTGTATCTATGCATATACAGAGTTGTGTATAAAGAAGAGTACATGTCTAATGTATTTATAGGCAAGTGTGTGTGGGAAAATGGGTGAATATACAGATTTAAAAACCTTGAAAATGTTTATGAAAAATGCCAAAGATTCTAAAGCTTATCATCTTGTGTCTGTTCTTCTTCATTTTATATCTTTCCCGGCATGTCTCTCTGGCTGAGCCAGATCTCTGCATGATTTGATTTACTTCAAGTTAATGAAGCTGGTTGGAAAGAGCCTTGTAGAAATTATAAAATCTCCAGTAAATCTCCTTCTTGTACATACAATAGATGTCCATGGACCCCTTTTGTTAAACCAGTTTCTCAATCTTCTGTGTAAACAATGCCTCATTGTCTTGCTTTAAACTATCATCTGGTTTATCATACTGTAGTCTTGTCATTTTGCAAGGACCAAAGTCAAACATATTTAAGCAGGCATTTAAGATCTGATCATTGATTTGAGTGAAAACATTCAACTGCAGGAAAAATGGTTTATTTATTCAGAAGTTGGGACTGATATTTTAATAGATTTTTTTTTTTTTTCCTATAGATTTTTTCCCATGGAACTGATTTCTGTTCAGGAGACAGGGTGATGAGGGGTTTTTGTTGTTGTTGTTTTTAAATGTAGATATGTTGTGTTTCAGAATAATTTTATTAGATTCTTATGCTGGAGACATACCAAATGAAGGGGTTTGGATGGTCCAGTACCTATATATGTTGTAATAAGCTCTTTGTTTTCATAAATGCTGTTTGAAATGCAATAAACATTTGAGGTTAAGCTGATGCTTTTAATTTATCTGGATTAGAAGATACATTTCCCATTCTTTGCAAAATGCTTATTGTGCTGTAATATTTAGTATCTGACTAGGTAAGCAAGTACATTGCTTGACAGTGCAGTGTAACAGCTAATGCTGGAGGTTACTTGTAAAGGAGGCTGTGGCAGGAGAGGAGGTAAAGCCTTACCTCACCTGCTTACAACCCTTTAGCAGGATTCCTAGCCCCTACCTGAAGGAAAGGAGGGCTATGCGCATTTACTGCACGCTCCAGTAATCAAACTCTTTATTCAGACTTTTCATTTCATTATTAAAGCAAGAATATTAATTGATACCTATCTCTGTATGTCCATTTGCCCATGCGAATTATTGTTTTTTACATTGTTAAACTATTCAGTGTATAACATGGAAATTATAAACTTATATTTTTAATTTAAGGTAGTCATTTCAGTGCAACAGGATGTGCATTTGCAGTCTAAAGTCTCTAAGACCAGAAAGTATTCAGAAATTTAACCCTAACTATGGGTCTTTTAGAAGACTGTGGATTACAGAATCATGGAAATATTATATGACTAAAAATGTCCACTACTTGTACATTGTGTAAATAGCTGGATTTGACATATATGTGCAAATGAAATATGTACGCATGGTTCCCCAAACATAAGCTGCTGCTGCAGGTTGGTTTCTTGAATAATCATGAATAGGTCTGAGGACTCGGCTCTCGTATGGGTCAGTGTCAGGAAAACTCAGTCACTGAAACGCACCTTGTGGAAAACGAGCAAACAACTGAATAAAGCAAAGTCGATGGAAATGTCACGCACCTTTTCTTTTTTTCTGCTAGCAGAGCTCCAATTTTAACCTTCAGCTGTAGCCGTTCCTCCCTCTGCTTCCCCCTGAGTCCTCTCCCGAGCCACCCACAAAGTGGTGGAGAGCTCAGGCTCTGCCCTGCTGACCCGGGTGTCCCGGTGGAGAGCGCTGCCCAGCAGACCCGCCAACCCGCACCCGTCCGCATGGGGAAGGGAAAGTGCTTGTCCCCTAGAAATTAGACTGGCTGCTCCTAATTCACTGCCTGGGGTAAGAATACTAACAACTCCCTGAATTGGGCTGTCCCACTAGAAAACAGACACTTGCCATTTAATTTCCTGCACTCTACATGGGGCTACGTTTTATTTTATTTTTTTAATTTGGAGGGCCTGATTCTGCAGGCATTGCCACAAGTGGAACTGGAGTTATTTTCTCATCAGACCAGTAGGTTCACACCAGGAATGAATTTGGTGGCTCTGATGTGTTAAGAAAAAATTGACAAAATACATTCTAATCAAGCCTTAACCTTTAGATTCGCCATCCTTTAAACTGAGCTGATAGACTGTTTGGGAAATGTTAGCTTTGACTTTAGAGACTATGGCATGTCTTAGAAGTGAGTCTTCTTCTGACTTAATATTGTACGTGTATTTTATCTTTAAAGCTACATGTGCATCTACCCCTTCAAATCACACAGGGACATGATAAGAATATCTGCTCTTTAGCATCCTTAAAGTTAACAACTCAGAAGGAAGCTGAGATATTACAAATGATTGTTAATCTGCTGTATTGCAGATGGAATGTTCTAATTGTTCTCAAATTGGGGTAAATTTAGCCAGGTGAAATTCCATCATTCTGGGACAAAGCCTGACAGTTTATTAGTGGGGAAGACCCCCAGCAACAACAGTAATTATATAGTTCAAGGAACATATGAGCAAAAGATATGTTTATGATTAATGTAAATATTCGCAACAATTTAGAAAAAATATTGGAGTGAAAAACCAGCCTCTTGAGATGATAGCGTTTTTAATCTACTTTTCTCTGTGATGCTTTGACTTAAAACAGTGCTGCATTTCAACAGAATTTAGAAGGTCATTTTGTTTTGAATAAAAGACATGCTCTTCTGACATGAATCATGAAACTGAGCATGGGGAAGCAGGAGGCGGCATTCAGGTCTTGATGTTTTCAACAGCAGCAGCACCTGGGCGGGCATGAGTTCAAGTTCTCAGCGTGGCTTTAACCTGAGGGCTGGTGATTCTTGTTAAATTTTACGTGAAGGAACATTGCCAGTCGCTTCCTGCGTGTTGGATTGAACACCTGCAATTTCCCTCTTGGCTGAACAAGATGATATGCCTCTTACAAGGGGAGAAAGTAAGAGCTGGAAGACATGCTGATGTAAACTTCATTTGCGCTGATGTCCTAGTGCAACCAGCCTTCTAACCTCTTGAGGACTTCCTTGCAGAAGGAAGGTAGGACAGGCTCATAGACTGTGCACAAACATCTGGTTCTGGGTCTTCCAGGGCCAACCATGGTCAGATTTAGATGGT